ATGCATCAAAGTGTCTATCACAGCTGATAAAGTTGGAGCTAATTTGAAATGCTTTGTATATTGGTGATGGATAGCTTAACCTATGATAATATTATGTGAATGTTTATTTATAATTTGATGCATATGTTTAGTATTAGTTTTTAATATGAATGTATAAAATATAGTAACGAAAGCTGTGTAGTAGGTACATTCAGTGGAGTAGAAAGTACAATATTGGCATAATGGCATCCAAAATATAGTGGAGTAAAAGCATTTGAGTATATGATACAGTAGAAGTCCTCGCGCAAAGTACAAGTAGAGTTACCTTCCACTATACTGTATAAAGCAGATTTATATCATAATGTCATAATAACCTTTTCTAGAACCTGGTAGGCCTCCTCAAAACTGTAGAAAACATCCGAGTTGATGATGTTGAGAGTGGATGGGTGGTGTTCTGGTGCTTCTGCTGGTACCACATAGTAGTCCTTTGGCATATGCATGGTGTGGTTGTCTCCATCAGACCACAGGTGCTGAGTCCACACTCCACCTGTCTCTCCTCTCAAGTATGAACACACTAGCACCGGGTCACGCTGTGTTAAATCTCGCAAAAGACGCTCTGTAGGGGACCAACTCTCGGAAGTATCTTTCAAAAAGTAACCCTTGAGGAGAGAATCCTTGATATTTGGTAGAAAGGAGCACATGGGAGACAAATGACATTCTGGAGGCAGGTTTGTCAACAGTTTGTCTTTGAGCTCCGCGTAAAACTTTGCACGTCTGATTGTGTCGCTGCTGCAGACAAGCAGAGAATAACACCGGCCATCATTTCCTCTAAACACCCGGGGCACTTCGTCTCCTCGGTGCTTCTCTTGTGTTGAAAAGTAAAAGGGGGTTCCATTCAGCTCCACTGAAGAAACACGAGAGGACCAGTGAGGAAGAAGAGACATTGTCCGCCGTGCCATTTCTTACACCAGACGCATTGGTCTGTTTCCGGTCTGGTTCAAGGATACTAACTGCGTAGCATTGCATCATCTGGCCGCTGAAGGGAAAACAAAAGTTAACTCCGCTAAACAGAGAAACGAAACTTATCCTTCACTGTCAGATGGGTTATCAGAAAACTGCATTGTTGTTTCCGAGAAATGAAATCCTTGGCTCCAAGTCATGTTTATGGATAAGTATGACACACCATAAGAAATAACTTCTGGTTGAGTCACTGTTAAGTTTATCTTTGACGTCAGTTATCTCTTAACCCAGGTGTTTATTGAAGATTTAGGAAGAACATAAAAGTCAACTTTGCTGACAAATAATAAACAGAACAGAGCAGGCAATCCATTATAAACATGCATTTCACTTGTTTGCCTCAACCCACGTTTTATTATTATCTTTAATGGCATGCAATCTTACTGAAACCCATATTATTGTTATAGATCTGTTAAGCCTCCAATAAAGTGTCTTATATCGTATCATTGTTGCATCTGTATAATGACTATAATAAAACATATTGGAGGTATTTTAACTTCACCTGCACTGTCACATTTGATCAGTGCCTGGCTGCACGTGAGCTGCACCCAGCTGAGTTCCGTTTTCGACGTTTGTAAACAGAAACTTAACAGCTCAGCTGACCGACTTTCCTTACCTCTATATAAAGCCAGTGCCCTGCCGACCTCAACATTCACACTGATAAGAGTGATACGGCTGGTTTGAAGATGAAAACCTCTTATTTGATCGCTTCTCCAATGCTGCTGCTGCAGCTCTGCATCAGCAACCTGCGCCACATTTTTACGAGCGCCTTTTCTAAAGTTTTTAACTGGACACTCGGAGTCGGCATCCCGTTGACATCCTCTGTCTCACAACTTGACAAAGAAGAGGACCAAAGCAAAGACAAAAATGCGACGGCTCCAACAAGTGTAAATTATCACTTTACAAGACAGTGTAACTACAAATGTGGATTTTGTTTCCACACTGCAAAAACATCCTTCGTTCTGCCTCTGGATGAAGCCAAAAGGGGGCTCAAACTCCTGAAGGAATCAGGTAGGCTGCATTTTAAATATCAATCTATTCTGTTATTGTTTGTGTAGTGTAAGACATGTTGTTTACAGTTAAGCTAATTGCTTCTTTAATTAGGCATGGAAAAGATCAACTTCTCTGGAGGAGAGCCATTCCTGCACGATAAAGGAGACTTTCTGGGGAAATTAGTTCAGTACTGCAAACAGGACCTCCAGCTCCCAAGTGTCAGCATCGTCAGCAATGGAAGCATGATCAAAGAAAAATGGTTCCAGAAATATGGTAAGGCTCCAAATTAGCTTCAGCTTTGTAGGACAAATGCATCCTTCTTCTTTTATTACCATATTGCACCCTAGATAGAGGGATATTTTTAGTCTGGCACAAATGCAAATGTTATGCATGTTTTAAAAAATGATGCTCTGTGTCCCACAGGGGAAGATCTGGACATCCTGGCCGTCTCCTGTGACAGCTTTGATGAAGCAACAAACCAGCTAATTGGCAGAACTCAGGGCAGAAAAAGCCACATTGACAACCTTCACAAGATTCGACACTGGTGCCAGCAGTACAAAGTAGCATTCAAAATCAACTCCGTCATCAACACCTTCAACATAGACGAAGACATGACGGAGAACATCCTCCAGCTCAACCCAGTCCGCTGGAAGGTAATGACAGAAAGGGAGAGTGTGTAGTATGTTTGCTTAAATGACATCGTGACACATTAACAGTACTCACGCTGTCTGTTTTTCCTGCAATCAGGTGTTCCAGTGTCTGCTTATCGACGGGGAAAATGCAGGAGATGAAGCCTTGAGAGAGGCAGAGAGGTTTGTCATCAGCGAGGAGTTGTTCCAGGAGTTTCTGGATAGACACAGCAGCGTCCCCTGCCTTGTTCCTGAGTCCAATGAGAAGGTATGAGAGGAGATCATTATCAGTGTGTGAACAGATATTAATCTAAGTAAGTTTACATGCCAAAACGTATACCCATTCACTCAATTTGTGGATAGGCATTGTGACCTTTGACACTGTCATATAAATCAGTAAATCAATTTTTGTATTCGCAAATGTTGTGTTATACAACCAAGTTAAATGTCAGCCATGTTCATTGGTGCACAGCCTGATGAAGCTGGAAAATTACTGTAGGACTAATTTTGAGACTGTAACCATGTCAACAGTGTTGTTAGCATGTGTTACCATGTCAAAAATAGATGCCAGGTCCAAGACAAACGTGTGCTTTTCTTTGTCTTTACAGATGAGGAATTCCTACTTAATCCTCGATGAATATGTAAGTATTGTGTGATACTTATGGAGTAAAGCCTCCCTGTTGCCTTATAAGTGTTTTATACATAGCTTACCACATCCGATGAGTATTTAAATGTGTAACCAATTGACTTTTTAATCAAATTTCAGATGCGTTTCCTGGACTGTCGAGAGGGAAGGAAGGACCCGTCCAAGTCCATCCTGGATGTGGGTGTGAAGGAAGCCATTTGTTTTAGTGGCTTTGATGAAAAGATGTTTAAAGAGAGAGGAGGGAAATATGTGTGGAGCAAAGCCGACATGAAGCTGGAGTGGTGAAAACACTGCAACTCAAATTCGATTTACCTTTGATGAGGGGTTGTACAGATGATGTTTATAGTGTGTGTATGTTTTTATTGTTATTTCTGTTTCTTACTTACATCACTACTTTTGTTTTTTGAAAAAAAAAGCGTTATATTAAATAAAAGTTTATATGATATTGCACATGTTTTGTTTTATATATATATATATATATAATGTTGCACTGCAGATAATTTTGTTGTAAAAAATTACAAAATAAAAGGATTTTATCCAGTGTTTTGTTGCAATTTATTTGGGTCAGCATGTGATCTCGTAAAAAAGTAACTTTGTAGCCAACCCTGTTACTCACCTGATGGCACGGTGCCATTTTACGAAGGCTGAGCTCTTATGGCAGAGTCGTAGGTTTGAATCCAACCTGCGGCCCTTTTCTACCTGTCAGACCCCTCTCTTCCCCTTTTCAGTATATCTGTCCTATCCCTGTATAACAGGCAAAAAAATACATATTTTCAATATTATTTCAGTATAAAGGCATTAGATAAACAACAATATGCTGATGTAAAAATAATAACATGACTTTTGATTAAACAACTTCAATGTAACTTCATGTTGCACATGACAAATGTCTGTCCTGACTTTTTATACCACTAACGTAGAACGAAACACCAGTCACATTAGCTCTATGAATGGCATGTGAGTAAAGGGATTAATAATATGTTGTTATCTATAAATATAGATGAATGTTGTCTAAAATAAAACATTCCTGTGAGGTTAGAATTTAAATTTCACAAGAGTTTCACTCTAGTCCTGCAACTGAGAGCCTATGTATGTCATTGTAGTGAATTACATGAAACTCAACTGGACCTTATTTTGCATGAGGACTATCTCTAGACTCAAGGGCACATGGAGTTCAAGATTACATGATCAGAATCTGGTTTATTGGCAAGTAGGTAATAACTCACAAGGAATTCATTTTTGAAATACAAGTACACAAAACAAAAATAAGAACAAATCTAATTAAATTAAATAAAAAATAAAGTAAAGTAAAATAAAGACGTTTAAAAATAGAAAAGGAGAATAATTTACATTCTATAAAATATGTACCGTTTACCTAAAATGAAATAACTTTGCAGCTTTATTTATTTGTATTTGTTTGTGTAAAAATTGTCCAAGAAACTTGCAAAGGTTCATAACAAGAATAATAAAAGTTACACTGTCTGTTCATCAATTTATTTCACATTCAAATTCACCCAAAATACATTGTTTCAATAAACGTTTTTAGTGTTGATGGTTTTCAGTTTGTGAAGCTCACATTGAAAAATGAAACTAACAACTATATTCCAATCATCTGAATTACATTAGTGTTGTATTGTTTATCTAGAAAAATAAATATCTGCAAACGCCACTGTTTACATGGATTCCACCACTAGAGGGAAGTATGGAAATGTGTTCATTTGAAACCGACCGATGACGGTGTTCGGGCAGCAGAGGGCGCTGTCGCTCATGGGTAGCTGGTCGGTGCTGAGCTCTCCGGTAAGTGGCAGCAGAGGGGAAGCCTCTCACGAACAAATGGCGTCCCTCCAGTGCGGAGCAGCTGATTTCCAACCGAGCACGGCAGCACGGACGATGGGGAGGTAAACACACCGCCCCCGGATTTCTCTGCAACAAGATAGCCGCTTACCCTTTGCAGAATTCGTGTAGCAGAGCCGGCTGGACGTTGCGTTCTTCAGTAATCGAGATTAGACCGGTGTACAAACAACCCTGGTGTCAAGCAAAACAGATAGGCGAGTGTCAGCCGCAGCTTTCGCTTCCCCTCCGGTTTGCTTATTTATCTTTTCAGCCGATGGTTGTTGGTGTGAGTGTTTCACCAGGGCCTGGTCTCAGCCGCTGTAGGCGACAGTAGCAGGTCAAATGTTTCCACCCCGACGTTGGAGGGACACATAATGGACATGGGCATCACCCCTTCAGATATATCCTCCACCGCCTCCTCTGCCTGACTGGTTGGTCGCTTCTTCCTTAATCCAATTTAGGAGATCAAATTCCAACCTTTTTGCTGAGGGTACACCATCGAGACGGCGTTATCTCAGAAAGCCAGGTAAGGTGTCCTGCTTTTATACTGTTACACAGTAGGTGCTGTAGCAGCCTGTGGTCTGGCTTCATTATAAACTGCTGGGTCGTTTCATTATTGTTCATCGACATTTCGTTTTTCATACCAATTTATGCTGTACTAATTTGGGGTATAGCCAACATACTGTAACGCTGTGAGTGTGCACCCTTTGTTGGTATATTTTGGAGTAAACCGATGTGGTGAAAAAATGACGAAGCACTGGCTGCAGGTAGATGCTTCATAATGACGTGTGTGTGTGTGTGTGTGTGTGTGTGTGTGTGTGTGTGTGTGTGTGTGTGTGTGTGTGTGTGTGTGTGTGTGTGTGTGTGTGTGTGTGGTGTGTGTGTGTGTGTGGTGTGTGTGTGTGTGTGTGTGTGTGTGTGTGTGTGTGTGTGTGTGTGTGTGTGTGTGTGTGTGTGTGTGTGTGTGTGTGTGTGTGTGTGTGTGTGTGTGTGTGTGTGTGTGTGTGTGTGATTGTTTTCTCCACAGCCCTTACATCTTCCTAGTTTCTCATACAGCAGCTGCAGAGTGTTGCATCTGAACTCCCAGCATAACATTCAGAATGGATGTCTCTGAAAGGTCACTCAGTGTCTTGCTATTTCCATTTTAAGCAGCAAGTCCTCCCTCAGGGTACAGTCAGTCAGATTATAGGCAAAGCTATGAAACCAGGCTACCAGACAAATAGAGCTGCTCAGAAGTGTGAATTCATTTCCAATGGATGTCTTACCTGTACATAATGTATAATTCTTATATGTCTGTTATCTCCTGTCAGGTTACATGTTTGTATCATATCCTTTTAGGCAAAATAGCATATCATCTTTCTGTAAAGACGTTATGTCCATTAAATGACAGAGGTCAATATTTGTGTGTTATTGATCTACAGTTTCTTTCCTCTCGCTATATCACAGGAGCTACATAGTGAAACACATACTTTCTCTGACACACACACACACACACACACACACACACACACACACACACACACACACACACACACACACACACACACACACACACACACACACACACACACACACACACACACTCTCTGTCTCTCTCTCTCTCTCTCTCTCTCACACACTCATGAACACACATCTAGTTCCTTGTGAGTTTGAGTGACATGCAGGGGGATGTTGTGATGCACTTTTTCCACTCTGGACAGAAACAGCAACTCCCATCGGGGGAATAAATGCATCAAGCCGCAAAACTTTGCTGCTGCTGCAGATTTGTTGAAAGCAAGAGAAAGCTGGTCTTGTACAAAGCAGTAACACATTCCTCAGAGTGACCAGCAGCAGCCAGCCCTTCTCCCAGAGGAAAGTAGAGATGAGTTTACTTAAGAGTGAGAAGGAATGAGGTTATGATGCCCAGAACTCGGCGTGCCACTGCAGTCCCGAGAGAGTACAGGTCAAAAATACACACATAATAATGTACGTAAACGCAGATGTATACAGGCGTGCACATATTATCAAAGGCACTGTATAAAGACAAGGAGGATATTGGATTGTTTTGGTGTGCCTCACAAAGCAATGGCTCTCTCTCAGTAAACAATTAATGTTTATCTAAGCCTTTCAAGGGGCTGCCTGACCTTGGCATTGCAATGTGCTGAATAAATATTCCCGCTGTGTATTTCCAATCTTTATTCCAGACTCAAGGTCCATATCACATACAAACATTGAAAAGACTCTGCTGAATATGTTATTGTGATGGTGATGATAAGGCACTATAGTAAAACTAACAGATATTCTGATTCCAAGAAATCTGTATCTGGGTTTGTTTTACATAGACTCAAATTTGGGTTGGGCCTTTTAAGCAATCTTTAAACAGTCTTTCAGCAAAACAAAGCCCCTGACAGACTTACAGTTTTAATGATGGACATAATACAGTAAGAGTTATGACTGAGTATTGTTGCAGATAAAGTAGATACTTTCTTGTGCCTGCGGTAGGATGTCATTTTGACTTCTGTTGCAATCACACAAGTGTGTCTGGGGAATAAACAAGGAAGTGCTTTGGTTTTTTCCAGTCCTGAAGAATCCATCCGCGTTTTTAAGAGCTATAACTCTACCGTAGATCACACAGCAACACCTCATGTTAAGGAGATTAGTCCACCTGAGAAGGAGTTGATCTATACATGTGACACCCATGTTGTTTTAATACTCTTAACCAGTAATTAAAACTCAAATTAGTGTCCGCTCCTCGTAAAGTCGTATTAGAGTGGTTTTCCTGAATTGAGGAGGATTTTTAAGGGCACTGAATCTAAATCGTCTGTGGTTAGTTAATTGGCATTTCTAAAGACATTCAGCTGTCTCGTATATACAGAACATCAATGTGGTGAACACTTGTTGAATCTCTCCTTTTATTCTAGTAACATTTACATGTTTAGCAAAGTCATTTTGGTGTAATCTGACTCCAGGGCTTGGAGTCTTTTGTGCAGTTGGGCTGCCAAGGATTATGCAACATCCTAAATGCCATTTCAGCAGCAGGGTTTTTAGGAATGAGTGTTCATGCTGGTTTCCAGGTGCAGTGTGTGTGTTTGTGTGTGTGGAGGGTAGTTTAATCTCCAGACAGTCAACAAAGCAATCACTTGACTTCTAAATGGATCCTGAAAATGATGTTCATTGCTCAGAGAGCGCTGTATCTCTGTGTGTTATGGCTTGTCTCCAGCCAGTTAAATTGCGTTCGGCTGAGATAGGGATTGTTATGAGCATTAAGAGTCGCTCGTGTGTGCCGTGATTCTTCCAGACGGCTGCTTGGCCTTTTAAAATGCTCTTGCAGGCTCCATTTTCTCAGGTAGGGCTGGTAAAGTGAGACACCGTTATGTAATAATAAGTGAACCACAGATTCTGCTGACCGTCTGACCCTTTCCAAAATTGAGCATTTCAGGAATGGGTCAATTGAAGCAAGCCCCCGGGGTTGAGTGAGTGTCACAAACAAGCAGCGAGAGTGAAATCATTCAAGGAAAAAAGGGTTGCATTTTTGAAAATGTCAATGAGCTCATGTTTTTCTGCTCATGTTCTTAGGATATTAAAACAGACGTAGGCGTCATACGTAGGCGTATGGCCTTCAAGCTGTGATACTTTAGCACCATCCTTCCAAACATAATGACTGACTTCCTAATGAGGGCCCCAGTGAACTAGCTTTTAGAAGCAGATGTCAGTGCAACTCTGGATTCACTTTTATGTGGTGGCAGATTTGACTGACTCCTGAGGAAAATGCTCTGAAAATAGATAATGCAACATCATTATGTCAAAATATTTAAAGTGCAGCTGTGATGGATTTCTAAATGAGAAGTATTTCTAAAACATTTGTTCCTATTCTGCCGTCCATCCCACACAATTACACTGCATACGCCTCCGCCTAAAGTAACTCATTTGGGAGAAAGACAGGAAGGAATATTTTCGAGGACAGAGTAGTTTTCACACCGACACTAGCTGCAATTGACTAAAGGCCAACAACAAATTATGTTTCATGTTCATTAAAGGGCTTCTACTCACACTCCAGCTCCACTGAGAATAAGCCAACACTTTGCTCTTACTATGTCTATATCTTATAGCTGATTCTTCCAACCTACACATACAGTAGAAATGGCAGAATAAACATGTCCAGGCTCGAAAACTGCTGAAAGTTATTCTCTGAAATGTTGGATATCACTAACTTAAATCAAAGTAGGTGAGTCAGAAAGAAGGCCGGGATCTGGGAGTGCCAGTGGTGAGCTAAAAGCTGGAGCAACCTGGTATAAATGCCACAAGGGAAGAAAAACAGACGACTATGTAAAGGAGGGAGGAACAGATCTGATTACTAAGTGATGACTTTGCATGCTGTCCGTTGTTTGGACCTATCCTCCTAAAATCTAAATCTGTTGCTGGTTATTTGTCTCTCTTTGGAAGATCCTGACTAATACTTTGAAATGACTCACAGTCTAAATGCTGGAGGAACTTTTTAGCATGTTAACGAGACAAAAGGTTTGGTCTGTTTTAAAAGTTGTAATCCTTGAGTATTTGGGCCTGACCAGTAGGTTATTGTCGCACTTTATCAGAAATACAATAGAATATTACCTCTTGACAACTTAATTAAGAATTCGGTCACAAAAATAATTCCAAATGCAATCTGATGTATTGCTTTGTGTAGTTTTTCACACAACAGCAGGACACAGTGAAGCTGTGAGGAGTTGTTTCCTCTGTCCAAAATGAAAAAGAGCCAAACGGTTATCATGGTGACAAAAGCATTGTATTTTCCTCTGGCTGTTCCACAATAAAAGGGTAGCAGCAGGAGAAGCAAATGTTCTGTTTGCATAAGCAGTAACTTAAAGTGAACAGTAAGACTGTTATCATAACATAGTGGATTACATTCATGCATCATTTTCTTTGGATCCCTCCTAGGGGAGGCAAACTCAAATGAAAATGGTCGCCACTACCAATACAAACGACGATGTAGAATTTCTTTTTCTTATTTCTGATACATTTAAAGTGCACCATATCATGCTATTTTTAGGCAATAGCATAGGTCTCAGATATATACAAATATATAAAAAACATGTCTAGGAAGTGTTTTGCTCAAAATACCAAACAGATCAGCCATTCTAGCCATGCCTCATATCCCTCTATTTCACTTCCTGTTTCAAAAGTGCTGATTTGGGGTATAAAGCTTCTTTTTTTTTTTTAAATAAATTGATTAAAAAAAAAGGAAGGGGCTGAACTCATGCGGGAGATTCTACCGGCAAATATTGCTGTGATGAAACGCCATATCATGGATTATCAAGGATTATTTCTGCAACATTATGGAGCTCAAAGGCTTTCTCTCTTGCCGGTTATACCACAAGGTGAGTTCCTTTTTATTTCCTGCTTCTTCACACACATGCTCTGTGCAGTACAGGTTAGCTCTGAGTGTTAGCGATGCTAATGTAAACATGCACAGACCATATTACGTCCAAAACAGTCGGGCATTGTTTCTGATAGCAACGTTTCTGATAGGGACGTGTGTGTAAAGCCAGC